AGATATAGATATGTAGATATAGTAGAAAATAAAATTTGCATGATTTGAAATGAATGAAACTTTCTTAGGAAAGGAAGAAAATCCGAAAGTCTTAATGAAAAAAAAACAGAAATATGTTATTATATGAAAATGAAAAGTCTTCCATGGCAAAAGATATGGGACATGACAGTTAAAAAAAAAAAGCTGAAATGCTGGTGGGAGGGGGTTGATTTTTTTAACGTGTATATATATATATAAATTTAATATTCCTGTTCACCAAACTGCAAATTCATAGTAAAAAGATAAACATTGGGACTGAAAAAACATGGCAGAGAAGTAGGGGGTTCTGTACTTCCCGCCAGCATCTCTCAAACAAAGAAGGGCTGAAGCCAAAGGATTCTGAACTCCAAGAGTCTGGGAGGAAAGGAAACAGAGTCTACTAGGAAGTGAAAAGATAAAAATCAAGAAAAAAATGATCAGGCGCTTCTGGGTGGCTCAGTTGATTAAGCATCTGACTTCAGCTCAGGTCATGATCTCACAGTCGTGAGCTCAAGCCCCGCATTGGGCTCTGTGCTGACAGCTCAGAGCCCAGAGGCTGCTTCCCATTCTGTATCTCCCTCCCTTTCTGTCCCTCCCCCATTCATGCTTTCTCTCTAGAAAGTAAACAAACATTAAAAATTATTTAAAAAACAGACAAAGAATATAGAAAGCAAATTGACAGGAGGGAAAACATAAACGGTGAAAATGGACAATGAGCATGTGAAAAATATATTTAGGTTTGCTGATATTTAACAAAATGTAAACTATAAAATGAGAATTCAATTTTTGCCCATCAAATTGGCAAAATTAAAATGTGCAGTAGTATTAACATTCACTGTGGATGTAGGGAAATGGATACCCTCATACATTTCTAGTCACAGTGTGAATTGGAGTATCCAGGAAAACATAGAGAGGTTGAGACACAAGTAGGTGAAGATATATGTGCAAGGATGTTTGTCACAGCAAGGTCCAGAGTGGCAAAAACTGGAATTCCTATCGATGGAGGGAATGTTAGATATGTAAGTAGTAACACTGAGGAGGGGCCAAAAGACAGCAATTATACACACATATAAAATCTAAACTATGATTAGGTGCCTCATTAACGCAGTAGATAGCGCTTCAGTCTCATAACATCTAAACTATGATGGTTGCTGAACAACTTCATGGTAATACAACTGAAAATTCTGCCCCCAAATATAACTTTCTTGGAAAATTAATTACCTTAAGAAGTATATATCTGAGCACATGAATAAATAAGGAGAAAAAAATGACATTATCAAATAATCACTTTAAAAAAAATACCTAAGTCCAGAGACTTAGGATGGATGAGTTTATCACATCTTCAGGGAATAGAAACCTCCCCCGGGATTTAAACAGTTCCGAGGAATTAGTAAACAATGAGATTTTTCCCATTTTTTTCTTTGTGTGTGTGTGTGGGGGGGTATGTGTGTGAAAAATACACACATTCAGAATAGTACATGATGCCCAAATGATGAATACTTACTAAATGAGCACCTGAGTAACCACCATTCAGTCACGGAAGGAACATTTCCTGCATTTCTGATGCCCTCTGCATTCATCTTCCCATCATGTTTCCTTTGCTCTCCCAGAAAGGTAAATGATATTACAGCTCCCCTTCATAATTTCCTTGCTTTTCTTTTTGGGTTTAAACTATAGGAGCATCCCCAAATGAGACAGTTTAATTGTTCATGTTTCTAAACTATATGAATGTATGTATTCTTTAGCATCTGGATTCTTTTATTCCATAACATTTGTAAAATTCATTTATGTTGTTGCATGTTGCTCTAATGTGTTAACTTTTAAGAAAATGTTTATTATTTTGGGGAGAGAGAGTGCAGGTATGTGCAGGGACAGGAGGAGGGGCAGAGAGAGAGGAAGACAGAGGATTCCACATGGGCTCTGCTCTGACAGCAGAGAGCCTGATGCAGGGTTGAAACTCATAAACCTTGAAATCCTGACCCAAGCTGAAGTAGGACACTTAACCAACTGAGACACCCAGGTGCCTAGTCTAGTGTATTAACTTTTATGGATTACTCCATTGTATAAGTGCCATTGTATAAAAAGTCTTCAAGTCAGGTATCTAGTTTACTATTTATGGATAGGAGTTGTTTTGAGGTTTCTTTTTTAATTTTTTTATGTTTTTATTTTATGTATGTATGTATTTATTTATTTATTTTGAGAGAGGGAGACAGAATGTGCATGGGAGAGGGACAGAGAAAATGGGAGACAGAATCTGAAGCAGGCTCCAGGCTCTGAGCTGTCAGCACAGAGCCCAATGCGGGGCTTGAACCCACAGACTGTGAGATAATGACCTGAGCCAAAGTCGGACGCTTAACCAACTGAGCCACCCAGGCACCCCTTGAGTTTTTAATCTATTGCAAACAATGCTGTTAGAAGAATTTTGCATGTTTCCTGACATATGGACATACACTTCTGTAGGATGCACTTCCAGGAATAAAATTGCTAAATTATAACATATGTGTGTTATTAAATACTACAAAATGCTAAACTGTTTCCCAAAGTTGTTATTCCAATTTACATTTTACCTAGCAGTGTATGAAAATTCCTATTGCTGTACATCCTCATTTAAAATGTTTAATTTGTTTGACAATTTGGTGGCCATGGTTTTAAATTTGATTTACTATTGAAGTTGAATACTTTATGTTTATTGATCATTTAGATTTACTCTTTTATGAAGTAACCATTCAAATATTTGGTCCATATTTCTATTGGTATTTCTTTTTAAAGAATACTGATTTGTAAATGTTCTGTATACAAGTATTTTACTGGTCATATGTATTGTAAGTATTCTCTTCCACTCTTTGGCTCATATCTCTTTAGGGTATCTTCTGATGATTGGAGACACTGAATTTTACTGTAGTTGGACTTATCATTTTCTTTAATAGATAGACATTTTTGTCTTGTCTAAGATAACTTTCAGGGCACCTGGGTGGCTCAGTCGGTTGAGCAGCTGACTTCGGCTCAAGTCATGATCTCCCGGTCCTTAGGGTCGAGCCCCGTGTCAGGCTCTGTGCTGACAGCTCAAAACCTGGAACCTGCTTCAGACTGTGCGTCTCCCTGTCTCTCTGCCACTTGAGCTCTGTCTCTCAAAAATAAACATTAAAAAATGAAAGAAACCTCAGCTTTATAAGATAACTTTCCACAACTAAAAGTTAATAAAGATATTATCTGCCATATTATCTTCTTCTATAGTCTTCTATAGCCTCCTATACTTTGTATTTTCCTTTTAGGTCTACACACACCCATTGATTTTGTGTCTGGTGTGATGTCCAGTACCATTTTTTTCCCAAATAGATATCTAATTGCCCCAGCATCATTTATTGAAACACTCTTGTATTTGCAAAGTATGCATGAATCCATATATGCATGTTATGCATGGATCTATTTCTTGTTCTTTGATTCTGATGTGTCTAGCTCTGCACTAATACCATTTTACTTAGTATAACATTATAATAAATCTTGAAAATTGATAGGGAAAGTCCTCTTACCCTGTCTAGGCTTTTCTTGAAGCTTTACTAACTTACATATAAATTGAGATTTTGATAAGGATAGTAATAAATTTATAAATCAATTTGTGAAATGAGACATTTAATTAACTTGCATCAAAAGTGTACCTCTTCTCTGAGGAATTATTTTGTGGAGAAAAAAATTGCTATTTAATCGTATACTTTAAAGACTCTCCATCAAAAAGGTGTGCCAATTTTCTTCTTGATACACCGCAAGCCTGTGTTTCTTAGACTCATGATCCATAAAACAAACAGGTGGGATTTTACACAGCTATTCTAACATTGGCACTTGAACATGTTTAGGATTGTTTTTATCTAATAAGGCTTTTAGTGGAGTTTTCTTGATTGCTAAATTCGGGAGAAACTTTATGTGCCAACCTCTGCAGAATAAATTAAGTCACCTGCTTGATAGATGGATGTGTATTTCAATATTACATGAAATTGAGACTTGATGGAAACAGTTATTTTGAAAGCTTAGAAAGCACATTTGAGTTAAACATTAAGTCATGTAGGAATCTATAACCTTCATTAATATATGTTAACTTTTGTGTTTCTTTTTTAATTTTTTTTTAAATGTTTTATTTATTTCTAGGAGAGAGAGAGAGACAGCATGAGCAGGGGAGGGTCAGAGAGAGAGAGACACAGACTCTGAAACAGGCTCCAGGCTCTGAGCCGGCAGTCAGCACAGAGCCCGACGCGGGGCTCGAACCCACGACCCGCGAGATCATGACCTAAGCGAAAGTCGGACGCTTAACCGACTAAGCCACCCAGGCGCCCCAATATGTTAACTTTTGTTATAACATGTTCATCACATTTAACTTGGAAGCCATAGAGAAATAACAAATCAAAAATTACCCAGAATAACTTTAACAAAATTAACAACTGTGTGTTACCATTATTATGAACTAAATTTTTTTCTTGGTTTTACACACAGCCACATATCTCTGTCTCTGATACGTTTATATCTTAAAATCATATAAAAATAGTTTCTGATAACTGGCACAGAAGATCTGTTGACAGTTTTAAGAACAGTTTTGTATTCTCTTTTTTAATTTATTTTATAAATTTAAAATTTTTTTAATAGTTTATTTATTTTTGAGACAGAGACAGAGCATGAGCGGGGGAGGAGCAGAGAGCGAGGGATACACAGAATCTGAAGCAGGCTCCAGGCTCTGAGCTGCCAGCACACAACCCAATGTGCGGCTCAAACCCACGAACCGCGAGATCATGCCCTGAGCCAAAGTCAGACGCTTAACGGACTGAGCCACATATGTGCCCCAGTTTTGTACTCTCAAAGAACAGGTAGTTTCAATTCTGTATAATTTTCTTATAGCCCAGGAAAAGATGAAAGACATTTCAATTCATTTTCTGAAACTTGAAAAACCTAGAGGTCAAAATAAGACAATCAGCAGAAGTAAACAGAGTCAAAACTCATTTTGGAATGGAGAGGAAAAATCTGTAATTGAAGTACCAGAAAACATTTAAACAGCACATTGGAAGACCAATCTACCATGCTCAAGGTTAGTTAACCTCAGGGATGTGAGGATGGCTTAAAATTAGGACATTTCTAAATATGTTTTGCAATACCATCAAATCAAACGGGCAAACAAAGAGACTGAGACGTGACGCCAGATCTGCTCTACTCGGAGTCTAAAGCAGGACTGCAGAATGATCAACAGGAAGCCAGCCCCTTGTCTCAGAAGCATCAAGAAAAGGCCAGGAAATTCACCAAGACCAAGTTCCACGCTGGGAGGTTGCCCTTGACCCCATCTCCTCTCCACTTCCTCTGTAACTGCTAGACTCCAGAGCTGTTAAGATTGACATTTATAAAGCAGAACAGAGAGGGAACCCAAGGAGAATATATTTAGATAAATACCATATCTAACTTATCTCTTTTTATTTAAGAGTGAATAAACAACAAAATGCAAAACACTATACTCTGTGAGATAAATGCAACAATCAAGTGACAGAGGAAAAACATAGTTTTATAATTTTAAAAAATACAAGCTCTATGAAATAAAGGATCAAAAGTGATGTTATAAGGTAAAAGTGTGGGATAAAAATGAAGATTGGGTTATAAGAGAATATTTTTTAAATGATTAGATTAGTAACTATTAAAGTAAATAACTTTAAATTATAAAAATAATTTAGAACACTGAAAAAAAAGGAGAAATGAAGAATTAATTTAAATTTCATTTATGAGGTGTAATCGTTTTTGATATATGATATTACAATATTTTTGCTATGTAAGTGTGAAGAAGGTATGACTGTATATATAATGAATATAAAAGTATATTTTCACGACTCTCACATATTCTAACATTCCATTTTACATAAAACCACTTAATGATTCATTTCACAGATTTTTGAGGGAAAAAATTTAAGTTAGAAAAATATTTTACTGGGGAACCTGGGTGGCTTAGTTGCTTAAGCGTCCGACTTTCGCTTGGGTCATGATCTCACGGTTCTTGGGTTCGAGCCCCGCATCGGGCTCTGTGCTGACTGCCAGCTCAGAGCCCGGAGCCTGTTTCAGTCTGTGACTCCCTCTCTCTCTGACCCTCCCCTGCTCACGCTGTCTCTCTCTCTCCAAGATATAAATAAAACATTAAAAAAAAAAAAAAAAAGAAAAATATTTTACTGAGAAAAACACCGAATACGTTAATATACGTTTGTGATATTTTCTTCTTTTGTGTCACAAAGTCTGAATTGAAATCTCCTTCACATTTAGAGACTAAAAATCCCATGAATCACTTAGGCCATAGACCGAGGTAGAAGCATCCCAAAAAGCATGCAGTTTTTCCAAATTCCTGATCAGGTGGCTTGACATTTTGGGCCCTTTATGATTACTAAGATAATTTCAAGGAGAATCAAACAATATTGGAGTTTCAACTCCATTTCCAAATTCATTAAAGACCCAGTTTTGTTTTTTATCTTAGTTACAGTGCCGAATCTTAAAAAGCTTCCTTGCAAGTCTGACGGAAAATGTTAACAGATTATGTTTGGCACCTGAGTGGCATCTTTGAAAATCCTTTCTTTCCCCCTAGCTTTACTGAGGTATGACTGACAAATAAAATTGCATATATTTAAAGTCTCCAAAGTGACAATTGGGTATACATATACTTTGAAATGATTGCCTCAGTCAGGCTAATTAGCACATCCATCACTTCACACAGTTACCTGTTGGTGTGTCACCTGTGCTCTTGGGGAAAACACTTAAGATCTACTCAGCAAATTTCAAGGATGCCTTCTGGGGTGACGGTTTCTACCGTCTTTAACTATAATCCTGCGCGTGTGACCGGATGTCTGCTGCAATGAACAATAACTTTTAATTTCAGTGTTTCATTCACTGTCAGATTTTGGAAGATAATTTTAGCAACAATTAAGAATCCGTTTTTAACTTCCAAATACTTGATGTGCTACCAATAAGCATAACTGGAAAACTCAATCAACAATTTCCCCTGGGACATCATGAGGTTACCACGTGGGCGGAGCATCACAACCATGTATCAATCCACTCCCTTGCTCGGTGGCTGCCAAAAACCTCTTAGTACTGATTGTAAGACACAACATGAAATATGGGAAAAACAGGCATCTTTGGATGGAGAACATTCAGAAATAGCATAGTCCTTTACACTTCTTTACAAAAGTGATATTATAATAGGGCATGCTTTAACATTTTAAGGCTGTTTAGTGGGAGTGTTTTTCCATACTACTCTCTAGTCTTTTCATTTTTAATAATAGAATAATACTCATTTTCTGGTTATGCCATACTAAAAATATTATTTTGGTCATATCGGTTGTTTATAATTTTATGCTACTTTAAATAAGCTGTGAAATGTAGCTAAATCTTTGTGAATATCCTGTATAAATGCCTAAAGGCAGAGTTTCTGGGTCAAAGGGTACGCACGTCCTTGTAAAGGCTTTGACTGCATCAGGCCTAAGAACCCTACAGAAATGCCACGTCCTACCCTCCTCCCCTTCCTCCTCTTTTTCCTCCTCCTTCCTTTCCTTCTTCTTCCACTTTTCACCTAATTGCCACACACCTCCAGCTGTGCCTCCTCTTAGAAGACTTCTTTATATTTCCAAAATGGTTAGTCAACTGCTTCCGCTCTTCTGCATCAGAAGTTTTTTCTTACTTTGTTTATAATCCCCCTCCTTCTGAGCAAGGTCTGAGACCACATGATGTGCTTACTTCTCTTTTGTGTCTTTATCTGAACTCTGAACTCCTGCCTGGCAAGGTCCCTGGATTACTTATCTTTGTATCCCCAGCACCGAATACAGTAAATTTTCAGTAAATGCTAGTTAAATGAATTCAGGGAGAATGAAATGACTCCTTTTCTTTGTTTTCAGCTACTATGTCATTTTTTTTTCCTTTTTCTTTTTCTTCTGAAATTTTCGGAGACTCTAATAGACCTGAGCATATAAATTTCAAAACAGAAAGGAAAATAATTATATAGTTTCAAGGCTCTAAACTCAGATGCTCCCAATACTATAGTATGCTCGCATAGTAACTGAACAGCTGCTAATTGTCTAACTCAAGCAGTCAGAAAGGAGAAACGAAGATGTTATATCCCCTTTAACATTTATACCCAAGGGAGATAGTGTTTTCCCCCAACATTTATGAGAAATGTATAAGATTGAAACTCACATCCCCAGCCCTTCTGACTTACAGGGTAGAATGAGTCATCATATGAAAGGTTAAAAATAAAAATACAGCATCTGTGTACGAGAGATAAACACTTTTCTTCCTCATGTGGTGGCGAGAATGCCAGATTGCTGGTCCATTATTTTGGCAGGTGTCTCTTGGAATGAACTGTTGAGAGGCCTGGCATGACTTGACGGCGTTTTGACAGGAGAGCGTCTCATACGTGCAGTTCCTGAGCAAATTGGCTTCAGTATCTCCCTTAATGGAATTCCAAGTCAGAGTGATTTGAGGCAACCACGTCAGTTTAGATTATTCTCCAACAGCCTCCAAAGACAACATGGGTTCTCTGTCAGCCCTCTGCAGACACGCTGTCCGATTAGCCTCGAGTTTTAAAAGGCAAAGGAAGTGACTTTCCTAAATTTCGAAAAGAAAAAGGATTTTGTAAGCATGCCTCATGGGAGCAGATGACTTGAGTCCAAATGCAACCTTTTCCAGGTGCTAGCCACTGAACTTAAACTTCACTCACGTGCAGTTCTTCAAGTCCAAAGGTGTTCCTGGGGGAAATGGGCATGATAATAATATCTACCTGTTAGATCTGTTGTGTGGTTGAAACAAGAAAACCCATGCAAACTTCCTAGGATGTTACCTGGTCCCAATTCAGGTTCAGTACTGTCGACTCTGACTATTCCAAAGGAGACTGTTTTCCCTTGTGGCAACTGGGACTAAAAACCTCTGTGGTCATCTGAAGAAGTCACTTTCCATGCAAATCCATCACCGCTTGGGCATAAAACACAAGGTGTCTACATCTCAGCAGAGCCCCAGGCCATTCTGGGAAAATACAACCAAATGTGCATTCAAAGTCTCTTCACCTCACCATTCTCGGTTTTACTATGCATGTATAACATTTATAGAGCTATCTCTTTTTATTACCCAAGTAAAATCTGTTCATTATAAAAATTTGGAAGACACAAAGAACCTTAACACAACCAACAACAATCCTATGATCCAGGTGTAAACACAGACAACATGAGGGTATTTGTCTTTCTGCTTTTATTTTTCATTTAATATTATTCTGTGAAGACTTTTCAGTATCTTTAAATGTCCTTCTAAAACCCATTGTTTGACATTTAAATTCTTCATAATTTTAATCTGTTATAAATTGCCTTCCACTGAATGAGCTTTCATACACACCTCTATGAACATGGTTTTTAAAGAAGTATAAGATTTTCATTAAAACATACAAATTTATCTGCATGTGTATTTTTGTCTGTATGTAGTTTTAATGGATTATAGTCTCAACAGTAAAGTATGAGGATGTCACTTTTTTCCCTCACTTCCACTAGCACTGGATGTTAATGTAAACATTTTTTTGCCTCAACATATTAAAAAGGCAAAATGACTTGCTGCTTTATTTTGCAGTTTTTAGATCTATTACCAGTATATATTTCAGTTACACATTTTTCACATAAAGCATATATTGAGTGACTATTTTGTGTCAGATTTATTGCCAATATTTTATTTATTCATCCATTTATTTAAAAACGCTTATTGAGGGATTGCTAAATAACTGCCATTTGTATTTTTCCTGTTGTGATTTCTAACTTTTTACTACAGTTTTTTATTAAAACATTTGTTTTTCCCCCCAATGCTTTGTAAAAATTCCTAATGGAGAGCACCAGCATTTAGTCCATCATATAGCCTGCCACGATTTTCCCAGGTTTGTGTGCCTTTTAATAATATTTACTTATAGAGGCACTTGGGTGGTTCCGTCAGCATCTGACACTTGATTTCAGCTCAGGTCATGATCTCATAGTTCTAGAGTTTGAGTCCCACATTGGGCTTGGGACACACTCTGTCTCTCTCCCCCTTTCTTGTTTCTTCACTACTTGTGTGCTCTTTCTCTCTCTCTCTCAATAAAAAAAATAAACTTAAAACATTTTTAATAATAGTTACTTATAATCAGTATTTTCATTTTACAAAGGAAATATAGGTTTTTATGAAGTTACCGTAATAAATTGACTGAAGATAGCCTCATATTTCCTTGAAACAAATTTAAGCAATGGGGAGCATTCAGCCCCCACATACTCATAAGCTGAGTTTTTTAAATAAAATAATTACTATAATTTTTCCCAGCATACATGTAGGAATTGGCCTTGTTTATTTAATTTTGCTGGACCTACTCTAAGTCATTGTGATTCTGTGAATTTTATCTTCATATCAGAAAATTTGTCTCTTAATACATCTTAGATCATTTCTTTGTTTTCTTTTTGTTCGTTTCTTCTTTCATGACTCCTAATGTTGGATATCTTGCTGCTCCCTAGTGTTATCTTTACTGATTAGTTCTGCCTCCCTGGTCTATTTTGCTATATTTTGGGAAATGTCTCCTATAAATTTCACATCACTTTTGAATTTTGGTGTAGCTCTTTCTTTATTGTTTTCTAAGTCATGTACCTATTCCATTATTAAGTTAGTGATTAATTTCTCTCCCTTCTGAACCTGAAACCCTGCTTTATTCCATTGTCATTGCTATGAATTCTTTTTCAGTCTTCTTTGAGTTAATAATACATATTTAGTTTTATAATTTTATTAATTGCACAGAGAAGAATCTATTCACTTTAAGTGGGTTTTGTTTGTTTGTTTGTTTACTGTAGAACTTTTCCAGAAGAACATTTATGAGAAGTGCAGCTTTTTCCTTCATTTTCTATTACATCAACTTTGAGAGGCAATAAACCACGTGCTATATATACTTTCTTTTACTCATTCTTGTGCAAGAAGACTGGCCAGGCTTTGTATTTATGGGAAAACTATGCCAAGGGATTCTCCTCAGCCACATTCACTCTCCTTCTAGATTTTCCTGGATCTTCTGTGTGAGACTTTGTTATTATAAAGTAACCACATGATGGATCAAGCACCGCGAGGAAGCTGTGGGGATGTGTGGTTGGTCAGTAACAGAACTTGGTTATTTTGAGCTTTCCACTCTGGTTGTGAGGAAGCTGCAGTCCAAGAAATGGTTTTCACCATGTGTTTATCACAGTCCAGTCACAGCCAGAGGGACAACTCGGAGCTAAGTTTGCCCTCTTTCCAACCACTAATTGTCTGGGTCAGGCTGAACTTCAGATGCATACGTGCATTTTCTTGACATGAAAATTCTTGCCATGGGAGAGCAAAGAGAGTTGCCTTGGAGTAGAGTAAAAGAACTCTTCAGTAAAAGTATTCCACAGATGCCTGGGGGGCTCAGTCAGTTAAGCTTCCTACTCTTGATTTCGGCTAACGGTTGGTGAGTTTGAGCCCCTATCCAGCTCTGTGCTGTCAGCTTCGGATTCTCTCTCTTCCTCTCTCTCTCTCTGTCCCTCCTCTCTGCTCTCTCAATATAAATAAATTAAAAAAAAAAGTTTTCCAGTGGCTCATGTGACTCATGAATCATCTTGCTTTTTAGCCCTCTAATTAGAGAATGTTAACGTGATTTGCTGGATTTCTTCCTCATACATCTGTGTCACTGCCCAAAATGCATTCTCAAATCATTACATCATCCTTATATTTAAGAGAAAAATGATTTGGGAACAGCGAAGACATGGTTCCAGGATTTCCTTTAGAAATGGATGTGTATTTCTCTGCAATAACATGGACCACAAGATTAAATCATGAAGCATCAGGC